CAGCAGTTAAAAAGGGGAACAGAATGCTGGGAATAATTAAGAAAGGGATAGATAATAGGACAGAAAATATCATGTTGCCTCTATATAAATCCATGGTATGCCCACATCTTGAATATTGCATGCAGATGTGGTTGCCCCATCTCAAAAAAGATATATTTGGAATTGGAAAAGGTTCAGAAAAGAGCAACAAAAATGATTAGGGGTACGGAACGGCTGCCATATGAGGAGAGATTAATCAAACTGGGACTTTTCAGCCCAGAAAAGAGACAACTAAGGGGATATATGATAGAGGTCTATAAAATCATGACTGGGTGGAGAAAGTAAATAAGGAAGTGTTATTTACTCCTTCTCATAACACAAGAACTATGGGTCACTAAATGAAATTAATAAGCAGCAAGTTTAAAACAAACAAAAGGAAGTATTTTTTCACACAACGCAGTCAACCTGTGGAACTCCTTGCCAGAAGATGTTGTGAAGTCCAAGACTATAACAGGGTTCAAAAAAGAACCAGATAAGTTCATGGAGGATAGGTCCATCAATGGCTATTAGCCAAGATGGACAGGGATGATGTCCCTAGCCTGTTTGCCAGAAGCTGGGAATGGGCGACAGGGGATGGATCACTTGATGATTACCTGTTCTGTTCATTCCCTCTGGGGCACCTGGTATTGGCACCCCACTATGGCCTTAGAATGCAAGTTTGGGAGTACAGTATCCCTCACATACGACATTTCACGGTCACAGTAATAAATAGAGCTATACAAGCCTTTTCTTAAGAAATCTGAAACGGAATGCAATTTACCAGGAGGTCATAGTGACCATAATATAATTGAATTTAACATGCTTGGAGGCAGAGGAGAAGGGAAATACCAAATACCAAAGAAGTTTACCACAGTAGCATTTAACTTCAGAAAGGAGAATGACACAAAAATGAGGAAGCTAGTTAATGGAAATTAAAAGGAACAGTCACGAGAGTGAAATGCCTGCAGGCTACATGGAATTTTTTGAAAACACCATAATAGAAGCTCAAATAAAATTAAATATATATCTCAAATTAAAAAGAATAGAGAGAGGACTAAAAATGCCTCTGTGGCTAAACAGAGTAAAAGAGGTGGTTAGAGGCCAAAAGGCATCCTTTAAAACTTGGAAATCAAATCCTACTGAGGAAAATAAAAAGGAGCATAAACTCTGGCAAATCAAGTGCCATTCAAGTGGCATACCTGAACCATTCTTTTTTAGACTTTTAGTTTTTAGGTGACAAAACTGAGGAATTGTACCAGACTGAGGTATCAAAAGAGGAGCTTTTGGAATAAACTGATAAATTAAACAGTAATAAGTCACCAGGACCAGATGGTGTTCACATAAGAGTTCTGAAGGAACTTAAATATGAAATTGCAGAACTACTTACTGTGGTATGTAACCTATCACTTAAATAATCTTCTGTACCAGATGACTGGAGGATAGCTAATGTGATGCCCATTTTTAAAAAAGGCTCCTGAGGCAATCCTGGGAATTACAGGCTGCAAAACCTAACTTCAGTACCAGACAAATTGGCTGAAACAATAGTGAATAAGAGAATCATCAGGCACACATAGATGAACAAAATATGCTGGGGAAGAGTCAACATGGCTTTTGTAAAGGGAAATCATGCCTCACCAATCTGTTAGAATTCTTTGAGAGAATCAGCAAATGTGTGGACAAGGGTGATCCGGTGGATGTACTGTACTTGGACTTTCAGTAAGCCTGTGACAAGATCCCTCACCAAAATCTCTTAAGCAAAGTAAGCAGTCATGGGATAAGAAGGAAGGTCCTCTCATGGATCCGTAACTGGTTAAAAGACAGGGAAAAAGGGGTAGGAATAAATAGTCCATTTCCAAAACGGAGAGGTAAATAGCTGTGTCCCCCAGGGATCTGTAATGCGACTGGTGCTGTTCAACATATACATAAATGATCTGGAAAAAGGGGTAAACAGTGAGGTGGTAAAGTTTGCAGACTATACTCAATTACTCAAGATAGTTAAATCCAAAGTTGACTGCGAAGAGTAACAAAGGGATGTCACAAAACTGGGTGAGAAAGTGGCAGATGAAATTCAATGTTGATAAATACGAAGTAATGCATATTGGAAGACATAATCCCAACTATACATACAAAACGATGGGGTCTAAATTACCTGCTATCACTCCAGAAAGAAATCTTGGAGTCACTGTGGAGAGTTCTCTGAAAACATTTGCTCAATGTATAGCATCAGTCAAAAAAGCTAACAGAATGTTAGGAACAATTAGGAAAGGGATAGATAATAAGACAGTAGATATCATAATGCCACTATATAAATCTGTGGATTGCATACACCTTGAATATTGTGTGCATGTTCAGGTCGACCTAAATCTAAAAAGATATATTAGAAATGGAAAAGGTACAAGAGAAGGGCAATAAAAATGATTTAAAGGTATGGAACAGCTTCCATCTGAGAAGAGATTAAAAAGACTAGGATGATTCAGGTTGGAAAAGAGACGACCAAGGGGGAATTTGATAGATGTCTATAAAATCATAAATGGTGTGGAAAAAGTGAATAAGGAAGTGTTATCTACCCCTTCACATAACATAAGAACCAGGGGTCACCCAATGAAGTTAATAGGCAGCAAGTTTAAAACAAGCAAAAGAAAGTACTTCATCACACAATGCACAGTCAAAACTATAACTGGATTACAAAAAGAATTAGACAAGTTCATAGGTCCAGGAATAGCTATTAGCCAAGATGGTCAGTGATGCAACCCCATGCTCTCGATGTCCCTAGCCTCAGATTGCCAGATATTGGGACTGGACGACTGCATGGATCACCTGATGATTGCCCCATTCTATTCATTCCCTTTGAAGCATCTGGCATTGGCCACTGTCGAAAGACAGGATATGGGTCTGTAGCGAGGCGGTGTGTTTCCCCATCATGCCGGAGAGGGACGAGCCTCTCCGGACACCAAAGTGGGCGGAGCCAGTGAATCCTGCGCCTGCCCCCCAGAGGTCAAGGCGCAGGACAGGAAGTATAAAGGCCCAACCCCAGAGCTCACTAGAAGAACAGTCGCCGGAGAGGCCAGATGCCTGTGACCTACCTCCTGGTTGGGAGACCCTGGCAATCGGCGGCTGACCCGAAGACTGGCCGGACCAGCCGATGCCTGACGCCGACCAGAGCCCGGAGGAGCGGTCAAGCCTGTCCCTTGCAAGTTACCCAGAGGAGCTGCCAAGCCTACCTCTCGCCAGTTACCCTGAGGAGCCCTTCATGCTTGACCCCTTGGAGGACACCATCTGGACCCAGGTACCTCTAGAGGGGGAGTAGGAAGTAGCCTGGGGGCAGCTGACCCTAGTCTGGCTGCAGCGCTACCAGAACCTATGTCAGTGTGTTGTGGCCAGGATCCCCACTGACACAGCAGCGGGTCTTCTGCTGCTGCTAGGGCCCTGGCCTGGGACGCAGTGGAGTGGGTGGGCCAGGGTCCCCCCTGCCACCCAACTTGTGGGTGGCAGTCTCCCCCTCTCCCAGGCCCTTGCTGTTTGGACTTGCTGTTTACCTGTTTGCTCAGCCCCGGCCTGAGCCATTGACTCTTTGCTGCCCCGCCCTGACCCAGGGCCTGGGCCTGCTAAATATAACTGTTTGCTCAGCCCCTGCCTGAGGGCCTGAGCCTGTGACACACTACTGCCCGCTGACTGGGTGTGAATAACTGTTATGTTTTGCCTCTACTACTGCTGCGGCGAGAGACTCCCATGGCCAGGCTAATTCCCCGTCACAACTGAAAGGAAGTAGCGAGGTGGTGTGGTTCCCCGCCGCCTCAGAGAGGGACGAGTCCCGGCCAAACCCCTCTACAGAGTCTATGGACCATTGGTCTGGCCCAGTATGGTCACTGTCATGTACGTTTCCTGGGTTCAGGTACAAACTTGTAACACTCTCAGTTTGTGATTTTTTGAACAAACCTAGCCAGTTTCATATAGACCTGGGTCAGTTTGTATTTACCTTGAAGCCTTGAAAAACTCCTACTCTTTCCTGTTGTTTCATCAAAAAACTGGGTGCAATTTCATTGTTCACACTGAGTTTTGCTTTGAGCTTTGGGTACATTCACATGTGGTTCTCAAAGCAAAACTTGGGGAGAAAACCCAGGTGGATCACAAACAAAGACAAGTTTCCCTGTGAACCCAAATTGCCTTGTTTCCCACAGTAATAAGTAAATTGAGTAATAAATTATGGTTTGATCCTGAGATGTGCCAAGCACCTGCTGTTCCCATTGGATCTAATCCTGAGGTCCTTATGAAGCTATTAGTCAATCCTCACTAATGCAAAACTTCTGTTGGCTTCAGTGGAGTCAGTTACTTCGGATCAGTGGAGTCAGTTTCTTTGGATTTCTAACTGAATTTTGACCTTGTGTAAACACTTCAGGAATAAGAACAGGAGTACTTGTGGCACCTTAGAGACTAACTTATGCTCAAATAAATGTGTTTGTCTCTAAGGTGCCACAAGTACTCCTGTTCTTTTTGCGGATACAGACAAACACGGCTGCTACTCTGAAACTTCAGGAATAGGCGCCTTGACTTCAGTGTGAATGTTGGGTGTTAACAATGGCAGCATTGGGAATATGGTGCTCATTTATTTTAGGGATTTCTCCAGACTGGACACTCCCCTTCTCCAGGGGAAGGTATACAAGGACAACTCCATCTGGACACAGATTTAGTGGGGATCTGCCCCTTTAAGGACACCTCGGTCTCCTGGGAAGAGCAAATGCCCCAACATGACTCCATCCCCTTGGTTACCTTCAGGGAAGGGATATCTAGCCTGGGCAAATGTTTAGCATTGAGACCCTGAGTACTCATCACCTCTCAGGCCTCTCAGGATCAGGCCCTTTGTGTGAGATGCTGATATTTGTACGCTCTTTTACATAGTGAATAAAAACAAATCTGTTGATGAAAAAACAGAATACTGTTGTATTACTGTCAGCGTTCATCCTTGTGACAAATTGTAGGCAGTGTCAGTTTGATAAAGTATTTTATTTACAAGATAACTTTACAAAAATAATTTCAATAAAATTATTACAAAATTCATTTACAATATAATACAGCTGCATCTTCTCAAAAGGTAACACTGGATTATTATGGGGAATACTATGTCTAGGCATACGTTAGGTCAATCCATAGCATAAATAATATTTCGAACAACGCACTATTTTATGATAGTATACATACCAGTAACAAAGAGTAATAAACAACAAACATTACTTTATAAGTCTCAGATGGCTCATCTGTAAGAGTGGCATTAGCAATATGAAAGCAACAAATGGGGAACCCCAGAAAATGCAACCGTCTTATATTAGTTCTATAAAAGCAGTTCCAGCCATTTGTTTGCATATGTTTAGTTTAGCAATGAATGTAAGAGCCAAAGTCTGCTCTCAAGTGTCTACAAGTAGCTCTCAGTGGCTATGAATCTGAAAACACAGCTGGAATGACAGCAGTTTATCTATATTTAAGAACAGCTTTTCCAATATCATTCTCTGACATGTTTTTTCAGTGTTTGGTCCAGACAGCAGACAGAGATCAAATCCAATCTCTACAATATCAACACTCAGGGCTGTAGGGCTCTGTGTGTTTGTACCTATTGGTATATTGTTGTTAATGAAAATTCATTCTTTGGTTCAGGATCTAGTTTCTCAGTATTTAGGAAACATATTGAGCTCCTCCATGTGGCAGAATCTCTGTAACTCCCCACCCAACAACATTGCCCCTGATATTACATGAATCTTCTGCTCTAGGCCGCGCTGTTATCTCTTCATTGCTGAGAACTCTATCCCAGATATTAAAGCCAGTCAGTTTTCCCGAAAAGGCTAAAGTTTCATCAAAACCACCTCCGACACAGCAACCATTCTTTTCTTGGCCTAGCTGCAAAATTCCTCCATCTGGAATTATATGAGCCTCTGCTATTTCTGAGGTGGTAGCAACAAGCTCCCCATTTGCCCACAATGATATGGTCCTGTTGTCTGAGCTCCAAGTGCCACAAAAGTGAGCCCAATGTCCAGGAGAAATTGTGTTTGGAGCAATTAACTTGTTCTGGTCACTACCTACAGCAAGTACTGCAGACTCATGGCTGAGATAGAATTGAATTTCATATGGATTTCTCTTTGTTCCGTAGGAGAATACTATAGTTTTGTCCAGCACCTCAGTCACTTTGACCCAAATGCAGGCAGTAAAGGATTGGAGCGTCATGTCAGCAGTTGGGTGAACGCTCCCAAAGATCTTTTTGGAACGCATTGGGAATAAAATTGCAGTTTCACACCCTGGGGGGAAAAAACAGAATTAGAAATATTATTCTACCCCAGCTAATTTTTGTAAAAGGTGAAGTATTTGTACATTCACAGTTTGGATCCTTGACATAAACTTACCTCTTTAGGCTGGGATTTCCAAAGGGAGTCAGGCTCCTTTGAAAATCCCCATACCATACAGTATGTCGTAGGAATACATGATAGAATGAATGCATTGAACATTTTATTGCCATGGGGTTGAAATAATCACATTGCTTGGATTAGACAGGTCTTCCCAAAGAAGTAGCTATAAAAAATTTACAGCATGCCTGCACCATGACATGCTTTGTTTATGACACGTTTTGTTTCGTGTGTGTCCTTCTTTTTTAGTCTCAGTATTCTTTTCTCCTTAGAATCATAGGACTGGAAGGGACATGGAGAGGTCCTCTAGTCCAGTCCCCTGCACTCATGGCAGGACTAAGTATTATCTAGACAATTCCTGACAGGTGTTTGTCTACCCTGCTCTTAAAAATCTCCAATAATTCCACAACCTCCTGAGGCAGTTTATTCCAGTGCCTCAGTGTTCTTTTCTCCTTAGGAATACAGCATGCTGTTGGCATGGGACGAACTCAGTGGCCTCTCCAGATTCATCTTAAAGTTAGAATGGCTGGAAATTTCTTCCATAGTTTGTGAAACCCAGGCATTGGATAGTCATGATCACATACTATATGTATTATAAAGAGCAATAGAGTCTATTACCATATTAGATAATGGCTACAATTTTGGAAAGTGCCTAAGTGACATACTAGCCTATGCCCCATTGATATCAAGAGACCTAGGCTTATAAGTGCCTAAGTCACTTCTGAAAATTGGACCTGCACTCCTATATCACTTAGATGCTTTTGAAAATTTTCCCATGTTCTGAATACGATATACTATGAAGAAATTATGACCCAGATAAACACAATTATAAGTGAAAAAATACTATAGCTTATTACTTAATATTTTTGCCTAAAAGTGCATAGTGAAAGGAGTGGGAAAAAAGAGGCCCACTGTGCAGATTCTGAACACAGTTATATCAGTGTAAATCCAGAGCAACTCCACTGACACCAGAGGAGTTATTCTAGACGTACACTGCTGTAATTGTGAACAGAATCTGGCATACAGTACATTACAGGAACATTTCACCTACTCAGACTAGAGTCAAATCCTGATTAGTTCCCAAGTGACAATGAGCTCAGTGTGCTCATCCTAGTCCCTTGTGAGTTTCTATCCACACCATAATATTTTCACGCAATTTGTCACATGTGGTGTTCCCTGCTGGAGTGGACTGGAGCAATGGGTGTTGAAAGGCAGGCGTGTGTAGGGACCATAGGCAGAGCCATGTAGAGAAACTTCCAAAACTGCCCGCCTGCTCTGAACTTTGCTTTAATTCTTTTAGTCATTAACTTTCAACTGCACTAAATTGGGTCCCCAAAACCAATTAATATAAAATGAATGGAAAAGATCAATTTCTTAAGAAGCTCTTCTCCCATCTCCAATCAGTGATAATCAGTATGTTGATAACAAAAATTAGATTAGTGATGGCCAGTAACAGAAATCCATTCGAGAAAGAAAAGTAACTAATGATAATAAAAACATATTTGACATTCTCAATACTGCTGTCTAGTTAATATATGATACATTAATATTCCAGTTGACTTAGAGTAAAAGAGGCCCCCCTCTACAATTAAGCTGACTCATTTCCTGTTTAAAGAAGCTATAGAAGCTAAAATACCTCAAATATGTCTTAAAATCTTTGCTTTAATGAATGAAGGACTCTTTCTGCCTTCCAGGATTAGACTGCTGCATTATTTCATATGCTGGTTTCTTTGAACTTTCAGCACAATAATTTTTTTTTCATTGGCTTTTTTTCGGGGGGCATATGGTGGGGAGGCAACTGTGGATAGACACTACTTAAAAATGTTAGGAATACTATCTTGAAACTGCTTTTTAATTAGCAGACTTTCTGGCTTTATTATCGAGGGCTAAACAAAATTAAAACCAGCTTCATGGAAGAACAACAAAAGTGTGTTTAGAAAATCCCTTAAGAGTAGGTCTGGCAGTAATTCAAGATGTGAGAAATCAAAACCAGTTGCTGAAAACTCTCTTGGAAAAGATCTCCAGAGAGACTTATGGAGTATATATATATATAATTATTTCTATTTTATATCATATTAGGATATTTTCTGTAAAAACATATAGAGCAGAGTCTACCTCAATTATACAGATGTAATTCAGGAGTAATTCCAATGAAGTCACTGGAGTTATTCTGGATTTACACCAGTGGAACTGAGCTTGGAATGTGATTGTTAAATGCTAGTCAGAATACATATTGCTCTCTGGTTGGTACAAATATGCAAAAATGAAAACTGACTGAGAGGTTTCACTTTTGTTTCATAGTATGAGTTTGGCATATTGGGGAAGAGACTTGAATAATGATGTAACCATCTTGTTGAATCTGAAAAAGACAACATTTTTGTGCAGGCAAAAGGAATATTGCTGGTTGCATTCTTTCAGTGTAATCCTTGCCTCTGTCACTCTCCCCTCCTCCCACATGTGTTAGTATGATACTATATACTATTTTTTCCTGCTTCTGGTTACAAAGCTATTCTAAATTAAAGCTGAATTCATGGTCTACCATCATAGGATACATTTTGTTCAAGGTTATAAAATGTCTTAATATTATTTTAATAGGTTCAGGTGTAAATTACTATTTGCATTTATGGCAACATTTTCAAAGCTGTAAGAGGTGTGCCTACAAAAGGTACTTACTTTTGTAAGAACTCACATTGCAGCATCACTGTATATTCACTAGCACAAACTGTGTAACTGCACACCACACTTCCCACATGCACACACAAATATGGGGTTTTGTGATTCCAATGTGCATGCATTTTTGTACCAGGCTCCTTTTGTCCTTGTTGGAAAATTTGGCCCATAAAATCATTATATTGGTAATATTTATTGCAGGTGGAATTATAGATATTCAGTAGTTTGAGCTTTATATTTGAAAGAGATGTGGTATGTTGGTAGTAATTTTTCACACACCTCTTTAGTTATTAATATATAGGGGTTTATTCTTCCATCCCTAAATTTCTCTAATTATTTCAGTCAGGTGCCATACAATGGTGTATAGAAAGCCTGGAACACAGGATTTGAAATACTAGATCAGTCCATATGATCCATCTAGCATGGTATCCAGACCTTAGCTGCCATCACTATATCATACTTCAAAAGAAGGAAAAAACTCTATATACAAGATACATGGGGAAAGCTGTTCCTTCCTGACCCACCAAAGGTGATCAGTGTTTGCCCAGAAGCATGACATTTGATTAGATGTTGCCCATTGACATTGTCCGTGTTCTCTCAGGTCTACAATTGCTCCAGTTCACAGCTAGAATTGGTGAGAAGGATGCAGCAGTTGGATTAGAAAAAAGTAAAGATTGGCAGTATATGGAGCAAATGAAAGCTTTCTATGAACTAAGGTGGAAATCTGGAGCTGGGAAGGTGAAGGGCAAGAAAACATCAAGATTTCATAAGTTAGTCTATTTAAAATGGGTCCACTGCTCGTTGGTCACAGCCTTAGTCTGGAAGCCTCTCCTAGCCTCAGCATCACAGTTGGAGATGACTTACTCTAATAATAACTTTGACTAGTATCAGAGGGGTAGCCGTGTTAGTCTGAATCTGTAAAAAGCAACAGAGGGTCCTGTGGCACCTTTGAGACTAACAGAAGTATTGGGAGCATAAGCTTTCGTGGGTAAGAACCTCACTTCTTCAGATGCA